GAACGAGAAAAAAACATGAAAATTAATCATAACTTTTTTGAAAGGTCGGTGACATATACATTTTTTTGCTTATTTTGAAGAGTACACATGGCACTTCCCTTCTTGAAATTTTTATGAAAACATCACTGGTAGATATTTTTTAATACTTGAAACGTTTTCATTCTTGCGTTTTATTTTTGGCGGGAATGAAATAAATCATATTTTTTAAGATCAAAACAATAAGAGTCTTAAACTCTTGAACCTGTATTTGATAGACACAAATCTACTGTTTAACATGAAACAAGAATTATGCTTGTAGGTTCGATATAATGGGATTTTTTGAGAGTTTGAATAACAAGCAAATATCATGTTAATATTCGGGAAAACACGAAACTGAGGTTGCTATAGTGACAAAACTAAGTCGGTGACCCCCAATTTTTTTTATCATATTTTGTTCCTCAAATCATGAAATACCTTCACACAAAATTTGAAGGAAAAATCACTGGTAGAACTGAATAGGCTGTTTGGTCTTTAAAGGTTTTAAAACATTTATTAGATTCATAAACCTTCTTGGATTTTTACCAAATTTGAACAGAACTTCTTACAATCAAAAGATAGTTTCTAGAGGAAAATTTTTAATAATTTTTTCCCAATTTTGTTGAGCCTGCGACTAACAGCAAAAGTAGGCGAGACACTGGGTTCCGCGGAACCCTTACAAATTTTTAAAGTGATGTGCCAAAAAGAAGTTACTAATTCTATGTCATGTATGTGAAATTTCTAGTATTTTGGCCTGATCACAAAAAAAATCAAAATCTTAGAGCCAATTTTGTGTGTGTTGCATTTTAGTGTTGTGTTTCTATTGAGTCGTTGTTCTCCTCTTATATTTGATGTGTTTCCCTCAGTTTTAGTTTGTAACCCGGATTTGTTTTTTTTCTCAATCGATTTATGAATTTCTAATAGCGGTATACTAATGTTGCCTTTATTTAACCCTTCATGATCTTATTCTTTTGGCAAGGTTAAAGTATTTTTTTGAGATCTCAACCCTCCCGTTTTTGTATAGTGGACATAAGCTGTACGGTGACCTATAAGTGTTAATTTCTGTGTCATTTGGCCTCTTGTGGAGAGTTGTCTCATTGGCAATCATACCACATCTTTTTTATATAAAGAATAGGGTATTGCAAAAATTTAAAATTTAAAGCATATTAACTAACTTCATGTCCAGGATTTCCTCTAGTGGTGGAAAATATAAAATTATGGCTAGAAAAATATCTTTATTTGCGAAAATTTATTGTGAAACAATTATAATGGTTCGAAATCTTCCATTTTTTTTTTTTTTTTTTTTTCTCTCTGGCTTCTCTAACTTTTTGTCTTTATCACATAGAAAAACACAAATCTTTTGCAGATCATAAAAAAAAAAAAATAAAAAAAATGCTTATATATAGTCTAATAGTCATTCTAATGTGATGTGCTTCTTTCGCTTTGTAAACAACACCGTGATAAAATTATCGATATATCTATACTTAGCGCAGACTCCGAGATGTACATAATAATGGCTGTTAAAATATACCTCCCACCTAAATCCACATGTATCGTAACCTATGTGCAAACACTATGTCGATTTCGCTGTGTTAAAAATTACAATTAAAAAAAAACCTACAGAACCTTTATTCTTATTTTGAGGCATAACAAAAGAACTAATGCATTAGAGATCGGAAAAATGTACAAAATCAAAATAAATTAAAATTCCTAGAATTCCATGAATGTTTTTGGTGCATTAACGTCATTTCAAAACATGACGTCATACGAATGAAAATGACAAAGCTGCAGGGTTTTCCATTGCGCTTACCTTCTAAACTCGGATAATATTGCATTGAAATAAAAAAATTTTGAGGTAGGTGTTACTTTTTTTCTATTCTATTGCATTATTCGCAAATTTACTGATTTCAGCAAGTCAACATGGCAGCTCCTTGGTTACAAAATGTCAACAGTGAATTTGACGGTAGCTTACATGAAAATAATGTAAATTAAAAATGGCAAATGTTGGGTTTGAGAATTACAAGAATGAATCACATTTTTTCTAGCGGTTATTTAAGAAATGATTCATGCCAGCTACAGATTTATTAGATTTTTTTTACATTTATCTAACAGTGGGTAAAATAGAACAGCCACACACACAGTATACCAACCCTCGCTTCAGTTTTTTAATGACAGTATTTGTCCTATTCGATTCGAAATAATTCATGGAAGCCATAGATTTGTTGTAAAGGAGTAGGTCCGGTAAGGGCCGATTTTGGCCTCAAAATTCAAGTTCATCTGATGAAAGATTTTGGACACTTTTTAAACACTTAAGTGTCTACTTCAGTCGATTCAATCAGTTTATGTGAAAGATTTGAACTGATTTAGTCATTAAAGACGCTCAAATTCAAGCTTAAATAGAAAATCTATCAAATATGCCATAATATGTCACTTTTCAGATAGTTTTTGTCAAAAATGAAAATGGCCACATCCGTGTTCATTCTCAACCTTTATATATGTTATGTATTATCATCAAGTACAACTTACATTTAAATATTAAGAATGAACACAAATGCGGCCACTTCCATTTCAGACGGAAACCATCTAAAAATTAACCAAAATGCTAAAATTTCGAAGATTTCCGTAATTTAGCATGACCTAATGATGCTAGTACCCGATACATGTGCATTGTATTGTCAGAAACAGCCCATATTTATGTAACAGAAGTATTCTTCTTTTCAATAAATAGCTTAAAATTTATATTTTAACAATTTTGTAAAACTGCTATATTTTGGGGCCAAAAAGGGGTCTTACTGGGCCTACTCCTTTACACATGGCCTGGGCCGTGATATTCATTAATTTTATCCCTCGCTAATGCTCAGGATAAAATTTGAATATCACTGCCCAGGCCATGTGTAAATTTCCAACAAATCTATGGCTTCCATAAATTATTTCTTAATTAGAGAGACATTCCACCACTGAATCTTATGTATTACAAATTTTCTCCACTTTTTTTTTAAGATAAATATACTTTGAAAGCCTCATTTCAATCATCTGCAAATTTATAAATGTTTCCAGCAGAGAACTATCTTATCAAAGTCAATGGAGTTGCATAATGTCAAAACTAAATATACTATACACACCATTTAATTTAGATATATTGATAGACAGTACATTTTACTTATGCACTCATGTGATGGACTGTAAAACTCAGATCAGGAGATTGGGAAATTTTGGTCAGGAGTTTAGACCTCAGATCAGATGTTTTTTTATCAATATTTTTCTGATGTAAAAATAGTCTTTTTTGTGTGTTTTTTTCTTCAATCTTCCATCTGAATGTAATATATCAATGTGTTTACAGTAGCCTTCTATCCTGTCCATTTGAATGTTATCTGTTGAAAGAATTATTGAGAAGATTCTATTTCAGGTTTTGTTTTGATTGTTGATTGTTGATTGCTTGTAGATAAAGTACTATGATTTAACTTTTACTTTGAGTACAAAAAGAAAATTAAAGCATAGTGTACTAGTCATGCCTCTATCTTTTTTATTTGTATCCAATCTCATTGGATAAGATATATAAGAAAGAAATATGCTTTACATTTATAACATGATAAATAGATCAAAGATTAACAAGCAATAACAATAGTTATGCATGGTTTTTAAGCATTAATAAAGTCATTTTTCCTAGAAAACTTCAGACTGTCATTATTTCAAACACTGTAAAATATATAAACTAAAGTACTTTCGATATTACATTGTCAAATGTTTTTTAATAGCTAAAGCACTGGTCTTAGAACACTGGGTCATGTAAGAAGTACAAGCTGACTTGACTGCCATTAATACACTTGACTCTGTACTAAAGTAATCCTGATCCTTATAACAAATTGTGTAGTTGTTAATCTTAACACTGAGGGGGCTGTGAATTGCCTTTGAGTCAATGTTGTGCTTGTTGTCAGTTTGGATCCTCTTGAGCTGAAGATCCTATAATGTCCACATAAAAATTTGAAATAGTGAGCATTTCTTTGTTGAGTTATAAGTTTTTTAAATGTTTTTTCAGTATCAAAACCTTCTGATCGATGTTTTGACAACAACATTCCACTGTTCTATTATTGCTGGTATTTACCTTTATTCATTCTTGGTGTGTGCCATAAACAGAAGACATATCGAATCATTAATATCCTATCAACTGTTGATCTGTTGATTGTTCTATTAAACTATTATCACTTGTTAATTAGCCTCAGACCAGGGTCAAAATCTAAACATGTTGCATAATCAGATGTTGGTTACACGGGATATGTTCGAAAAAACAGGTTTTATGTGTTCAATAATAAATATTTGTAAACAGCTTAGTAAAAAAAAAATTTTCATACACAGGAATTTTTCTTTCTCGTCAACGGGAAGACGGGATGAGACCCCTGAAAAAGGAATTATTGTCTTCCTGTCGGGAGGTTCACATATAAAAATGAAGATGTGGTATGATTGCAAATGAGACAACTCTTCACAAGAGACCAAATGACCACATGTATGCTTACGGATTTTAATAGATTTTTGCAATGTAAATATATGCTATGCTCTTTAATAAATCATAGACATATATATAAGTATTAAACTAAATATAATTACAGAACAATTTTGGTTGGGCTTCATAAGCAATTTCAGTTTACATGAAGTTAATTATAAAAAAAAAGTAGCATTACATTCATTTGAAATTTTTCATTAAGAATATTGAATCAAAGGTTTCTTGGTATCTTGTTTTGTAACTGATTGAAGGGCTGTTTGGACAGAATGCTTTCAAAACTTAATGGATAACAATGAATCTTGGTATGGAACTGTGATGAATTCACATATTAAATCAAATACCATGAAGTTCATGATTACTTAAAGGGTTCAAACGTATCTACATGTAATACATGTATTTAATTTGATAGATATAATGTATAGTCAACACTTGAAAAATGTATGTTTTAACTAGAAGTTCTCTTTTTTAATTTTTAATTTCTTTTCAGCACTGATTCAAATCCCAAAGCCAAATATAAGTACAGAACAGTACTGGACAAATCAACAAGGTAGTTAATTATTTAGACAAAGTTTTCTTCAAGAGCTTTATATATAATTATGTGAAATCTACAACAATACACTATTGATTATGATATTTAATCTCTTTTGATTGATCAACTTACAAAATTAAAGCTGTGAGCATTGATGTAATAGATAGGCGGGGCTTCAACTTGTATACATTATACTGTGAATTATACTTAACATCCAATAACATTTATAAGTATAATGTATACAAGCTGAAGGGTGTCTTTCCATTTATCCAACTTTTTAAAATAAGGTATTCTCATTTAGCCAACTTTTTATTTTTGTTAATTATTGGGTTGTTTGTTTAGTAATAACAAGGTGTCTTTCTAAAATTTGACAGTAAATTTGTTCCCGTATGTTTTTATATTATTTAAAAAATATGTATATAATAGGCGATAGTAAACTTGTTACATTTTATTTTTAAATAAAATTTAGTATATTTTAAATAATAAATAAATGTTTCATCATTTATACAAAAATTAAAATTTTATGAAAGTAAATATGACTGTCTTTATTACTTGTTTAAATTGTAGGTGCAAGTTATAACATAACAATAAATATGACACCTGTTAACTTTTAATTGTGGTGCTGATTCAAAGTGATTACCAAATTAAACATTGTTCGTGTTCAGCATATTTGCTAATCAATGCAAAAATCTAAACATTTTTCACAACCCAAGCCCATATCTCCAAGTGTTAAAAATTAAAACTATGTAACAGTACTCAGCAATCTTTCCAAAACATTTGAATGAATGAATGAATGAACTCTATTCTTATAAAACTACATTTCATAGTTAAGCTCATGTTGTAGTATATATAGCCATTCAATCCAAAATTTCATTATTGCACAAATGGCAAACACACAAGTAAGAGTACAACTAATTCCTCATGCCAGAGGTCACTACCTAGCAGTTGCAGGCTACAGATATTGTGTTAAGACCAGAAAACAGGGTAGAGATGCAGAACTTGTATACTGGAAATGTACAGAAATGGACTGCCCTGGCACCGTAAACACCACAGATAATCTAGTTACCAGATTTCCAAGAGACCACAACCACCCACCATCACATGCAGATAGCAAAGCCAAGCTATTCCTGTCACACTTATCAGAGAAAGCACGCTCCTGCCTAGACCCACTACCAACACTCTATGACAGTGAAATAATACAGTTCCGGTGCAGAGAATGGGACGAAGACACCAGGCAGATTGTAGAAAAGATACCAACCTTTACTGCCTGTAAGGAAGGCTGGCACCACAAACTCAACAACCAGTTAAACAAGGCTCATCCTAACCTGTTCCTCATCATACAGAAGCTTCAGAATACACAGGCTGCCACAGAAATACGACTCATCCAGTACGCCGCAGGGGGAAAACGCAAGACTCGCAAGTTAAAGTACCGCAACATAGACAACAGACTGACCCAACTTAAGGATAGACTACAGCAATGACAGATCAACGTATATCAATCACTACACTGATGCAGTATCCCACCTTCTTAAACTAGGATGAAGATCTACTGAACATTCCTTTAGTGTGTGCTATGGATATTTCTGTGCTACGTTTTTTAACCATTGTGCTTGCATTACTATTTAAAAAAAATGTATGATGTGTGTATCTACTGAACATTTCTTTAGTGCCATTGTATGTTGTGTGAATCTACTGAACATTCATTTAGTCACGGTGTGCTATTGATATTTCTGTGCCAGTATTTTATAACCATTGTGCTTGAATTGCTTTTGCTTTTGTTTATATATATATGTATATATGTTGTGTGAATTTTGTTCTGTTCAGTCTTTGTGTAGTAAAACGTATTCAACTTATATTTTGTCCCAATTGGATCATTTGGTCAGAAGAACAGAAAAAAATGAAGAAGAGGATCTATTACATAAAAAAAAAGCTCCGTCTCATTGACAAATCTCTTCATGAATAAAAGTGCAACTGATATTTTTCTATCCAATTCACATTTTAATTAACGGTTAAAAAACTTAAAAATACTTTCAAATGATTTACATTACATTAACTAAATGTCAGTTGCACATTTTAACATGCTATGCTAAATAATACTACAGAAAATTTAATCCGGGTATAATTTTCAGTCTTATTTTTCACCTGTCATTCAACCCAAACTCTAATTGAAAAACCCTTTGTTCTTGATTACCTTTGATCTCATCTATCCAAACTTTTTTTTTACCTGTACTACCTATAATTTTAAAAAGTTGGATAAATGAGAATGAACCAGCTGAAGCCCCACCTATCTTTTGATTGCAGATGTCAATTTTAATTACAATGTTTGAGCAAACATTTATACAAACAAAGCAAGCAAGCCAACCAAACCTTTAAATTACAAGCATTAGGAAAATAGCTCTGTCTTAAAAAATATGTACATGTATAACAGAAAAGGGAAAACTTATACACTTGATATGATATGTTTTATTGCTTGTAAATCATTTTCTTTACTATTAATCAATATTTCTATGCTTTTTACACTGCACATAGGATATATGTTTTACTATTACTCATGTAAGTGCTGTTGTATATTTTAGAGTGCTGTACAAATCATAACATCAGTGACAATTGTATGTCCTATTGTCAGACAGGAAATGCTTTCTCTAGTCCAGATAAATGTGGCAATGAGTTCCCTACTGTTGTAGCTTGTGCATCAGGTATGTGCATTTCTATTTATTGTCCCCTGCGCAACGTGTTGCAAGGAGACATAGAAATACCAGGCGTCAATCTGTCCATCTGTTCGGCCTTGTTAGCGCTCTCACATGTACAATTCTTGGCAGATTTTAATAAAACTTATATTATAGGTTTATATCAGCAATGTCTCGGACGAGTTCAAAAATAAGTGCCGATGAACTATTTTTAAGAGTGATGCCCCTTGTACACATTAATTATATGCAAAATTGCATCGTTATTGCTCTCGTGTACAATTTTTGCCAGATTTTTATGAAATTCATATTGTAGGTTCATATCAGTAATGTCTCGGACGAGTTTGAAAATCAGTGCCAGTCAATTATTTTTAAAAGAGTTATGCCCCTTGGAAACATTAATTATATGCAAAATTGCATTTTGTAGGTTTATATCAGAGATGTCTTGGACGAGTTCGAAAAATCTATGCCGATCAATTATTTTTAAAAGAGTTATATATGCCCCTTGGAAATATTAATTATATGGAAAATTGCCTTGTGAGTGCTCTCATGTGTACAATTCTTGCCAGATTTTTATGAAATTTATATTATAGGTTTATATCATCAATTTCTTGGATGAGTTCGAAAATCTGTGCCAATCAATTATTTTTTAAAAGAGTTATGCCCCATGGAAATATTAATTATATGGAAAATTACATCATTAGCGCTCTCATGTGTACAATTAAAAGTAATAATGCCAGAGTTTTATGAAACTTATATCATAGGTTTATATCAGCAATGTTTTTGACACTTTTGAAAATAAATGCTGATCAAATATTTTTAACGAGTTATGCCCTTGGAAATATTAATTATATCAGAAATCGCATTGAAAATGCTCTGAAGCATTTATTTCTCTATGATATTTATGAACAATTTTAAAGAACAAAAAAAGAGTGTATTTTTATACGACCGCAATAAAATTTTGCGGTCGTATATTGGTATGACGTTGGCGTCGTCGTCGTCCGAAGACACATTGGTTTTCGCACTCTAACTTTAGTTTAAGTGAATAGATCTCTATGAAATTTTACCATAAGGTCCAATACCACAAAAGGAAGGGGGGGATTGATTTTGGGGGTTATGGTACCAACAGTTAAGGAAAAAGGGTCCAAAAAGGGGCCAAAAATAAGCATTTTTGTAACTTTCAGACATAACTTATGTGTAAGTGTATGGATCTTTCTGAAATTGTACTACAAGGTTCCATATCACAAAAGGGAAAGCTGGAATTGAGTTTGAGGGTAATTGCCCAAAATGTTTAGGAATATGGGGCCAAAAAGGGGCCAAAAATAAGCATTTTTCTAGTTTCCAGACAATAACTTGTGTTCAAGTGTATGGATCTCTCTGAAATTGTACTGCAAGGTACCATACCACAAAGGGAAGGCTGGGATTGATTTTGGGGGTAATTCCAAGGCTTCCAAAACGGTCATATATGCCGGACATTTGTATAATGTCCGGTAAAAGTCCGGCTGGGCAAAGCATGAAACGGTCATCTACTTTTTAGTTTTCAAGGCTTTAAGAGACGGTCATTTTAACAGAATTCGCGATCTTTTTGACCCAACGTTTTGCCTTTAACAGCCACACATTTCCGGTCATAAAAGTGACATGATCATTAAGATCTATCAAAACAACCCCTACTTTAATACCTTATCATTTTAATCAAGGCTAATTAGTTGTCGAACAGCTGAAATTTACCTGTTCAGGTGACAGGTAAACTATTTTGAACCGGACATTGATCGGTCTATTCAAAGTTATTTTCTTACATTTCAGCGGTTTGCATCTAATTAATTAAGTCAAAAAGATTTAAATTATCAGAAATACGTTTACAATTATGATTTGATGAAAAAATTAAAAAGGTGAAAATGAAACATCGTCACAACCACGTTGTTTGAACTAGTACACGTGTGCGCATGTGCGCAGGTGTGAAATTTAATTATGCATCCTAATTTCTTCAAAAAATGCTTAAATTGTCATTGATACCTTTATCTCATGTTTATTTCGAATATTTTCTTGAAGAAATAACGTAGAAGGAGCTACTTCCACTCATTCATGCTTTGCAAATGTACACGGAATTTACGTATCCGTCTCTGGTCCATGTTTTACCATTGTCAAGTTAACATCCGGTAGATTAAAAACGAAAGTAAAGTTTTTGACAACGTTATTTTGCACAAATAAAGAGTCTAAGGCAAATATAAGTACGCTGATGTAATTTATTGTTGCACACTTCGAATGATGCACTGCCAATTTAACAGTTTACGTCAGAACTTCAAATTTGAATCAAAGAAAGTTTAATATCGTTTTTTTCATGTCAATCATTGGGATGGCCAACTTGGCAACTGATTACCATAATTGCCCTTTGTTTATTTACTCTTAAGGGATTAAAATCGGCATAATATATAAAATGTCCGGCTGGCTAAAAATAATTTTGAAAGCCCTGGGTAATTCCCTCAAAATTTTAGGAATTAGGGGCCATAAAGGGGCAAAAAACAAGCATTTTTCTAGTTTCAGGACAATAACTTGTGTGTAAGTGTATGGATCTTTATGAAATTGTACTGCAAGGTTCCATATCACAAAGGGAAAGCTGGGTTTGAGTTTGGGGGTAATTGCCCTAAATGTTTAGGAATTTTGGGCCCAAAAGGGGCCAAAAAACAAGCATTTTTCTAGTTTCCAGACAATAACTTGTGTTCAAGTGTATGGATCTCTCTGAAATTGTACTACAAGGTACCATACCACAAAGGGAAGGCTGGGATTGATTTTTGGGGTGATGAATCATAAGGGGGTTCAAAAAATTTCCAGGGGGGGATTTTTTTTTCATTTTTTTTCTTTAAAATTTTCCATCTTAAATTGGTTATTTCTGATTTATATATAAAAGCAAATAATAATGATATGGTTTGAATAGGTAAATTAAAAATTTTTCAGTTCTTTGACCACATTCATTCTATGTCAGAAACCTATGCTGTGTCAAATATTTAATTACAATCCAAATTCAGTGCTGTATCAAGCTTGAATGTTGTGTCCATACTTGCCCCAACTGTTCAGGGTTCGACCTCTGCGGTCGTACCAAGCTGTGCCCCATTTTATTTAGTTATTGCCCTTGTACCTTGGATAGGTAACATATGTGCAACGGGGGGGACATTTGAACTCTGTTCTTTTATTACAACTGCATATTTTGCTGCAATGTTCATTGTATGAATGTAGATGCTACCATTCCACTTGAGACAGTTATATTTTCACATTTAAAAAGAGAGGCTCGCCTATCGTTTTGAATATTTAATATTTAGCTGTAGAAATATTGTATTGCATGAAATTTAGAATCTGTTTCTCTAATGATTTTTAGAGGATATGACGACAACCTAATCTTTTTCATTGATCTGCAAAAAGATGTGTTCTTTTTATCTAACGTCATCATGCATGGTCGCCTTTTTTTGTAACGTCACAATAGGAAATTCATCGGAAAGCAAGAAAATATGACACCATAACTGAATTTTGACCATTAAAGAACTGAGATCAAACGAACCACTCATTGATTAAATAAAAATATTCGCAGGTCAGAAAAGGATAAATTGGCTAGAATTAGAGAAATTAGAATACTATTTTATTACATATAATGTTAAAGCAGTTATAACAAATACAGTTTAGGTAATGCTGCAGTTATTTATTGAGATTGCCATGTTTCAGCGCCTAAGGCACCGTCATCAGGATAAAAACAAAATACAAATTAGGGCTGAAGTACAAAATTGGGAAAGTATAAATAGCGTTACAATGTTACTATGGTGAATATAAATAGAAAGTGATATATGTCATATGTTCATTTTCCTTGACCTCATTTTCATGGTTCAGTGACTGTGTGAAAAAACATTTTTTTTGTCATGTGAAATACTTGCTTATTATGAATGATATGATAACTATATTTGGTATATGGGTTCTTTGCAAGGTCTGCATGTCTATCAGATAGGGTTTATTTGATCTTAAGCTTGTTTCATGGATCAGTGATCAAGGTTAAGTTTTTGTGGTGAAGTCCATATCTCAGATAAACAACTATATATATTTGGTGTATAGAATGATTGTAAGGTGTACATGTCTGACTTGCAGGGTTTATCTGAACTAGACCAATTTCATGGTTAATTGGACAATGTTTAGTGTTTGTGGTTTGTTCTATTTCTCAGATTCTATAAGCAATAGTGCCAGTATCTTTGGTTTATGGAATGATTTTAAAGTGTACATGTCTGTCTGGTAGGATTCATATGACCTTGACCTTATTTCCTTGTCAATTGGTCAATGATAAGTTTTTGTGGTTTTGCCGGTTTACCAGATACTATAAGCAAAAGAACATATATTTGGTGTATGGAATGATTGTAAGGTGTTCATGTCTGTCTGACATGGTTCATCTGACTGACTTCAGTTTCATGGATCATTGATAATGTTAAGTTTTTGTGATACTTAGTATTTTAGTTCTTAGGTAGTAAAACCTTCATATTACAGACTTCCAACATAAATTCAATCATAAGTAAAGCAGGCAAGACATTTCAGCGTGTGCACTCTTGTCTTGCTTTTGTCCTATAAACATACATGTATAGGGCTATTCATTTTTATTGAGTCTTGAATTTTTAGTAAATATGGGGGGAACAAATCACAAATGAAAAAAAATATAGGCTTATTTAAAAAAAAATAAACATTTAGCTGAATGACTGGATGCTGAAAACTTAAAAGAAGATAAAATCTTCTTGAAAGAAAAGTATTTCTATAGGACCTTGCATAATGCTTAGGAATAAATGATCTTCAGTGAAAATACTAATGAGACTAAATCATACATTAATTTTAAAAAAATTTTTTAAAGACAAATCACAATTATCATTGATGATTTATTTTAGATGGAAAGAATCACTCCTCATGTTGCCAACAAGCTGGTGTACCTAGAAGTTGTCTGCCATATTGCTGGGGAGCTGTGATGGATAAGGACCATCCTGTTGCACAGCTGTGTCTTAGTTATACCAGAATGTTTGTCACTTGCTTTACCAAAGGAGCAAGTTAGTATTATATACTATTTGATTTGATGCAAATTGAAAAGTATTGCAGCATAATTGTTGTGACATCAAATTAACCTTGTTGGCATAAATCGGAATATGATAGCATTGGTCAGTTATTATTGGATAGAATACAACAATGTATTAGTTTGTGATTAGGTCAGTTTATGGGGAACCACTAGTGGTAAGTCAATGATATTTAGTACACAGTTGTATAAGCATTGGCAGATCTCATTTCCATGGAGATTATTTGGCTCTGCCCCCTCAGCCATGATCTATTGACTTTGAAATTTTGCTAACTTTTTATGTATTAGTTTGTGATTAGGTCAGTTTATGGGGAACCATTGTTGGTAGGTCAATGATATTTAGTATCCAGCTGTATAAGCATTGGCACATCTCATATCCACGGAGACTATTTGGCCCTGCCCCCTCAGTCATGGTCTTTTGCCTTTGAAACTTTTTGTGTACTTTACATGTATTAGTTTGTGATTAGGTCAGTTAAAGGGAACCACTAGTGGTAGGTCAATAATATATGTTGTGTAGATGCATGGAGATTGTTTTGCTCCATCCCCTCAGTCATGCTCTATTGGCTTTGAATGTTTTGCATAGTTGACATGTTAAAGTTTGTGATTAGATCAGTTAAAGAGGAACCACTAATGTTAAGTCAATGATATTTGGTATGCAGTTGGATAAGCATTTGCAAGTCTCTTTTCCATGATGATGTATGGCTCTGTCTCCCTCATCATGGTTCATTGACTTAGATACTTTTACATTATTTACAATTTAAAGTTTAGGTTTAGGTTAGTGTAAAGGGAACCACTTATGATAAGTCCATGGTATTTGATATACAGTTTGATAAGCATTAACATTTTTGTCGAGCCTGCCACTTTTGTCGCAGAAAGGGATAGTGATCCGGCGGCGGCAGCTTTAACTAACTTCTTAAAAGCTCAATATTTCAGATGTTAGAAGACCTGGATGCTTCATACTTTATATATACATCTAGATGCCTTATGATATAAAGTTTCCGTCTGTCATATGTCCTTTATCCTTGACCTCATTTTCATGGTTCAGTGACTACTTGAAAAAAAGTTCAGATTTTTTGTAATGTTAATTTCTCTCTTACTATGAGTAATAGGATAATCATATTTGGTATATGCGTACCTTGCAAGATCCTCATGCCTGTCAGACAGTTTTCACTTAACCTCAACCTCATTTAATGGATCAGTGAACAAGGTTAAATTTCGTGGTCAAGTTCATATCTCAGATACTATAAACAAAAGATCTACTATATTTGGTGTATGTAATGATTGTTAGGTGTACATGTCCATCTGGCAGGTGTCATCTGACCTTGACCTCATTTTCATGGTTCAGTGGTAATAGTTTAGCTTTTGTGTTTTGGTCTGTTGGTTCTAATACTGTATGTAATAGGTTAACTATATTTGGTGTATGGAAATATTTTACGATATACATGTCAGTCTGGCATGTTTTTTAATACGACTGCAAAAAAATTTTGCGGTCGTATATTGGTATGACGTTGGCGTCGTCGTCTTCGTCCAGCATCGGCGGCTTCGTCGTCGTCCGAAGACACATTGGTTTTCACACTCTAACTTTAGTTTAAGTGAATGGATCTCTATGAAATTTTACCATAAGGTTCAATACTACAAAAGGAAGGTTGGGATTGATTTTGGGGGTTATGGTACTAACAGTTAAGGAATTAGGGGCCAAAAATAAGCATTTTTGTAACTTCCAGACATAACTTGTGTGTTAGTGTATGGATCTCTCTGACATTGTACCACAAGGTTCCATATCACAAAGGGAATGCTGGGATTGATTTTGGGGGTAATTGCCTCAAAATTTTAGGAATTAGGGGCTAAAAAAGGGGCAAAAATCAAGCTTTTTTCTAGTTTCATGACAATAACTTATGTGTAAGTGTATGGATCTTTCTGAAATTGTACTACAAGGTTCCATATCACAAAGGAAAAGCTGGAATTGAGTTTGGGGGTAATTGCTCAAAACGTTTAGGAATTAGGGGCCAAAAAGGGGCCAAAAATAAGCATTTTTCTAGTTTCCAGACAATAACTTGTGTTCAAGTGTATGGATCTCTCTGAAATTGTACTACAAGGTACCATACCACAAAGGGAAGGTTGTGGTTGATTTTGGGGGTAATTCCCTCAAAATTTTAGGAATTAGGGGCCATAAAGGGGCAAAAAACAAGCATTTTTCTAGTTTCAGGACAATAACTTGTGTGTAAGTGTATGAAATCTTTATGAAATTGTACTGCAAGGTTCCATATCACAAAGGGAAAGTTGGGTTTGAGTTTGGGGGTAATTGCCTCTAAACTTGGAATTTGGGGCCAAAAAGGGGCCAAAAAAACTTTTTTTTAGTTTCCAGACAATAACTTGTGTTCAAGTGTATGGATCTCTCTGAAATTGTACTTCAAGGTACATACTACAAAGGGAAGGCTGGGATTGAGGTTGGGGGGTGATGAATCATGAGGGGGGTCAAAAAATTTGGGGGAGGGATTTTTTTTTCCTTTTTTTCCTTTTTTTTCTTTAAAATTTTCCATTTTAAATTGGTTATTTTTGATTTATATATAATAGCAAATAATAATGATATGGTTTGAATAGGTAAATTAAAATTTTTTAAGTTCTTGGACCACATTCATTCTGTGTCAGAAACCTATGCTGTGTCAAATATTTAATCACAATCCAAATTCAGTGCTGTATCAAGCTTGTGTCCATACTTGCCCTAACTGTTCGGGGTTCGACCTCTGTGGTCGTATCAAGCTGTGCCCAGCGGAGCATTTTATTTTACCAGGTAACCTTGACCTCATTTTCCTGATTCATTGCTCAATGTTAAGTTTTTGTGTTTTGGTCTGTTTTTCTAATACTGTATGCAGTAGGTCAACTAAATTTGGTGTATGGAAATATTTTACAATGTACATGTCAGTCTGGCAGGTTTTATTTGACCTTGACCTCATTTTCTCAGTTCATTGCTCAATGTAAGTTTTTGGGTTTTGGTCTGTTTTTCTTAAACTTTAAGCAATAGGTCAACTATATTTGGTGTATGGAATGATTGTAAGGTGTATACATATGTCTGTCTGACAGGTATCATAGGACCTTCACCTCATTTTCATGGTTCATTGGTCAATATAGAATTTCCATGGTTTGGTCTGTTTCTTTTATACTATAAGCAATAGGTCATCTATATTCTGTGTATGGAATGATTGTATTAAAGGTGTACATGTATTCCGGCTTGGTTTATCTGACATTGACCTCATTTTCTTGGATCATAAATATTAATGTGATACTTGTAGTAAAACTTTATATGCAGGACTATCAACATAAAATCAATGGTCAGTATAGTAGGCGAGACATTTCAGCATGTGCACTCTTGTTCATTTCTATGGATGTTATTTTGTCTTGCACCTTAAGTCATGGTTCATTGACTTTGAATGTTTTGCATAGTTTACATGTTTAGATACTGCCATTTGGATTCAATATTTGCATTATACTATCAAAATTACAAAAGGTGAGACATATCTCTGTGTCAACAGTTTATTTTTTAGCAGTAATTGATGTGTTGACTTTGGCTATTAAATCACAAACTGAAATCTTTTATGTACTGTTTGTTAGTCGGTGGCCCATTTAACACATCAATAACCTCTAGAAAAAATGCATTTAATCCTTCAAGTTTTCAAACCAAACATATGCTATTTTGAATTAACATTTCTGGCAGTGGCATCAACAATTGTTAAGTTTTCTGCTTAAGTCATTTTGATATGAACTACTTGTAATAGATGAATAATATTTTCTGTAAAGTTGCATTACTATTAATACACATCAGTTAGATGACTATTTCGAGGCCCTGCCCCCGTTGGTCATGGTCTAGTGACTTTCAATCAAATACCAATTTTTTAATGTTAAGTTTTCTGCTTAAACCTTTGCAGGCAAATGATGTTTTGAGGCATCGCCGCTCATGTGCCCAACAAAACCTCAAGGCATCGCCTGTGGGAGGCCAAACGATGCCTTCAGGCATTGTGGATTGTGAAAATGGCCATGTTCAGTTTAACGAGGTTTGTGTTCCTCCTCCTTGTATTTCAGCATAGTAATTCGATACATTCTGAAATAAATAGGTTTCTTTTGAGTTACTGTTTGAATCAGGAAAGTGGGAGATAACAAGGAAACTTCTGAAATTGAATGAATTTTTGTTTTCAAAATCTGCCGCCATTTTTGTCAACGTGGGACAAACCATGAAGAAAGGTATCAGTTGTATATGAAAGTATTTTGATGCTTAATCAACTTTTTTGGAAGAGGAAATAACATAAGTACATCGATAATTAATTCTTACATATCTTAAAGCTTGTAAAAGTATTTAATTTTCGCAAACAGGGGCTGCTTTCAGGTGGTTGTGTTTGTTGACACTGACAAGGGGCGTGGTTTCAATACTTTCGTTTTTGTCTGCAAGAACTCGACTGAACATACGATTATACCCGATCATACTTTTCACATCATTTCGAAGGTCGAATTCCTTTTAAGGAAAGTCTAAATAAAGCTAACCAATCGTGTTCCTTCTTTGCAAATTTACGTCTTACTTAATTTTTAGAAAATGGCGCCCGAGAAGTTGTGAAGAATCAGAGTTTTCAGTTATTAAATATAACAAGCAAGTGAACGGTATCGCATAATGTTTTCTTTAAATGTAGCAGGGAACTATGTTGACAACCGTAACGTGGGAAGTGATCTTTTTGGAGGAAAAACATGATCCTTTCTGCCCACATGCCTTCAGAAATGTAAACAAAGCTGGTAATATGCAATAGATCACGATTTAGGAATAATCTTGATGACAATAAAATGCAATTACTTTAATAGAGGGCTCCCTATCCATATAATTATTGCACTACAGAATAATCAAGCTCCTGAAAAAGAACCTGTTTAAGTGTTTCCAGCCCTTTCTAAGTAATAAAACCTGGGACTATAATTATAGTAGTCCCAGACAAAACTGACAGTTTTGCCAAACAAATTTATCCAGGACAAATTTATCCAGGATCACCTCAAACTTACCACAAATCAACTTACTTATCTTCACCATAACTTATCTGCTTGAAGCCTTTTCTGTCTATGTTTTAACAGTTTTAATAATGACAGGTGCAGACCATTTTACAAAACAGGTCTTCATGAATAACTGTTTCAGTGTTTATATTTCTTTGTGAAGTTTGACATTAAGGAAAGAGTAAGCAACTTCTAGCAAACAATGAGACATTTATACATCTCTAGTCTTTACTGACATCAGAGACACACCGTACTGCTGAATTGTTTTGCCAACAGGAAAATCAATAGTTAGGCCTAACAAAGTATGACAAATAATGAATGATCTAAATAAAAATATTAAAATATTCTCTTTCTCATGTAAGAGCACACATAACAGAGTGCTCCTATTTATATAAATATGTAACCATGTCATATATTGAAGCTCCTGTCCAAAGTCGAGAACCTCAGCAGTAATTTAGAATTTTGTTATTTGGAGAATTCAGTGTTGATAGCAGAATTTTGATGGTCTCTGTTAATTCTATTCACAAATCTTGTAAAGATTCTGTCGATTTAGAGTTTTTATTGCCATAAATATACATCTGTACATGCATTGTAGCAATTGGCTGAAATGTCATTGCATTGACGTGTCATTGGGGTATACAAGGTGATATCCAACAATTATTTTTCCATATAAAGTATGCCAATCATCTTCCTATTGAAATGCGATTGGACTTATCAGAAGTATATATACTAAACAGGGTATTAAACTATGAGCTTTATTTGTATCATACATAGGGGGAATGTATTACATGTATTGTAATACCTGATTATATAAATTAAAAATATACAGTACAAGGGTTACTCTAGTTACTTTTAAAAAAAAAAAATTGTCTCTCTAAGCGGTCACAAAAAAATGATAATTTCGCGTATCCACCGTAATTTTTCTCGCACAAAAGGTTTAAAAACACAAAAAAATGGTATTGTCATGTATGATTAACCATTTAGCTACGATCATTACACATTTTGACACCGATTTGCAGAGAAACAATGAAGATACGAACGTATTTCCAAAAAGTTACTTTTTCTCCCTGCACATAGCAAATTAATTCAGGCCAGGCAAGCTGCGCGCGAAATTTGAACAGGCCACACAAAGTCGCGGAAAAAAACAAATCAGTGAGGAAAGTGTAAAGTTTAAGTTTGATAGGAACTGGTTGTGATAGACAATGATATTATCTATAAAATTGTATTACTATCAGTACATCTCAGTTTGACGATCATTTTGATGCCCTGGCCCCTAGGTCATGGACCATCAGATTGTCTTTTTTTGAATTTTCTGTGTCAATAGTTTATTTTCAATTTCAATTTTCTTGGAACACTAGGATCCAAAGCATGTGAATTGCACATGAATAGATCACAGTGAAATTGACATGATGATTACATGGGTTACAAAAGTAGTTGTGGCACCTTGGTCTTAGTGTAAACCCAGGTAAAAAATTTCTAACAGACCAATCTCATTCAAGAGTTTGTAGATATACAAATTATATACTAATAATTCATACACAATGGAGATACCCTAGAACATAAGTATGTCTTACTTATGTTGTTTGATCGCATTCTCATTTTTGCACTCAAGTGGTAAGGTTAACTTGTTAGGATTAAGTTTGTTCCTCATTAACTCTGCATGAAAGGTTAACAACATTTTTGATATGAATTTGTAATAAAGAGTATACATGTACATCAATCTGACCCCATTTTCATGATTCAGTGGTCATGATTAGGTCTGTTACTCATTAGCTACGAGTGACAGTTTAACAGTATTTGGTGTGGAGATTATGACCATGGATCATAAGTCATATTACACTGACTTTATATTTCATGGTCCAGTGTTTATGGATAAATCTTATTAGTAGATTTGTATCTAAATAGTTATACATAATAAGATGACTGGCAAACTGCAAATGTCACTCCGGTATATAAGAAAGGCCAGAAATACATAGCAGCTAACTATAGGCCAATATCCCTAACATGTATCTGCTGCAAAATAATAGAACATATAGTCACCAGTAACATCATGAAACATGCAGAGGTAAATAACATACTATACCCACTACAACATGGCTTCAGAAGTAAAAGATCAAGCGAAACACAACTCCTTGAATGTATCGATGACATCACAAAAAACCTGGAAAACTGAAAACAATCAGGTCTGCTAATAATTGACTTTTCAAAAGCTTTTGATAAGGTGTCCCACAGCTTACTCCTCCATAAATTACACCATTATGGCATCCGAAGTAAAACAAACAAATGGATAAAGGAATTTCTCACCAACAGAACCCAGGTAGTAGTTGTTGAAGGTGAAACATCTGACAAAGTAAAAGTAGAATCCGGAGTACCACAAGGATCAATATTAGGACCCAGTCTTTTTATACGACTGCAAACAAATTTTTGTGGTCGTATATTGGTATGACATTGGCGTCGTCGTCGTCGTCCGAAGACACATTGGTTTTCGCACTCTAACTTTAGTTTAAGTGAATGGATCTCTATAAAATTGTACCACAAGGTTCAATACCACAAAAAGAAGGTTGGAATTGATTTTTGGGGTTATGGTACCAACAGTTAAGGAATTAGGGGCCAAAAAGGGGCCAAAAATAAGCATTTTTGTAACTTCCAGACATAACTTGTGTGTTAGTGTATGGATCTCTAGGACATTGTACCACAAGGTTCCATATCACAAAAGGAATGCTGGGATTGATTTTGGGGGTAATTGCCTCAAAATTTTAGGAATTAGGGGCCATAAAGGGGCAAAAAACTAGCATTTTTCTAGTTTCATGACAATAACTTGTGTGTGTGTATGGATCTTTCTGAAATTGTACTACAAGGTTCCATATCACAAAGGGAAAGCTGGAATTGAGTTTGGGGGTAATTGCCCAAAATCTTTAGGAATAAGGGGCCAAAAGGGGGCCAAAAATAAGCATTTTTCTAGTTTCCAGACAATAACTTGTGTTCAAGTGTATGGATCTCTCTGAAATTGTACTGCAAGGTACCATACCTCAAAGGGAATGCTGGGATTGATTTTTGGGGTAATTGCCTCAAAATTTTAGGAATTAGGGGCCAAAAAGGGGCAAAAAAACAAGCATTTTTCTAGTTTCAGGACAATAACTTGTGTGTAAGTGTATGGATCTTTATGAAATTGTACAACAAGGTTCCATATCACAAATTTTTAAGTTCTTAGACCACATTCATTCTGTGTCAGAAACCTATGCTGTGTCAAATATTTAATCACAATCCAAATTCAGTGCTGTATCAAGCTTGAATGTTGTGTCCATACTTGCCCCAACGGTTCAGGGTTCAACCTCTGCGGTCGCATCAAGCTGCGCCCAGCGGAGCATTTTATTCTGTTTTACATCAACGACCTACCAGAAGGCCTACACTCCACAGTGAGACTGTTTGCGGACGATACGGGGGTCTATTTGACAATTTCATCAGACAGCGACTGTCATACCCTCCCAGAATACCTGGACAAACTGGCAAAATGGGAAGAACTCTGGAAAATGGAGTTCCATCCTGAAAAATGCAGTGTCCTCACAGTCACAAAAAAGAAAAAGCCAATCAAGTGGGACTATAAACTCCATGGCCATACTCTGGTGCATGAAACATCAACTAAATACCTAGGCTGCACCATTGCAAATGATCTAGATTGGGGAGAACATATAAACAACATCACAGGAAAAGCCAGCCGAAGCCTTGGTTTTCTACATCGAAACCTCCACATTAGCTCAAAATCCATCAAAGAGCATGCCTATAAAATATTTATAGTGAGACCGCAAATGGAATACGCCACGACAGTATGGGACCCGTACCAGCAAACCACATAGATAAAATTGAAAAGGTACAAAGACGAGCTGCACGATATGTAACCAGCAGACATAGAAATAGATCAAGTGTCATCAACATGATAACTGAATTGGGATGGAAAAGCTTACAAACAAGACAAAAAGAAGCTCGACTCATCATGTGTTACAAAATAACAAACGACCCTGTAGCCATAGACAAGAATAAATATCTACAAAAACCAACAAGAAGCTCAAACCAGACAGGACAACATACTTACCTATTACAGCCAGCCACCAAAGACTGTAGGAAATGGTCCTTCTTCATAAACACCCTCAAGGATTGGAAAAAACTGCCACCAGATACCGCCACAGCAAAGTCTCTTGAGATATTCAAGTCTCAAGTGACCAAAACCACAAACTAAATCAACAGAACAATTTGTTTTTATCCTGTTTTTAACCTGTTTTTAATCATGCGCAACTTGCCAGAATATTCATCATGTTGAATGTTGGCAGTATTTGGAAGAAGAAGAAGAAGAAGATAATAATATGTTGTACGTGAATTCATTGTTAAAGATATGAACATCTTACAGGATTAATTTGACCTTGAGCTCTGACTTTATTGACATTTAAGATAGTTTTAAAATGTCTAGGACAACAATTCACCAAGTGTAGAGGAGAATCACTTGCACTGGACTTCTGTCAGAACAAATGGATACATATGTACATGATATTTAACAGATAGCTTTATTCATAAGTATCCTACATAGTATGATTTAATTTGAGGGAGGTTAACACATTACATTCTGTTACTTTACTGCTAGGGTTGTCAGATAAGTGTAGCAGGTTGTAGGATGCATATGTTGCTTCTAACAACTCCTGTATTATTTTATTTACTCAATTTTGATTTATTTTGTTATATAGGAACTATTCCATCAATGGTAACAGGATTTAGTGCAATAGACATTCAAGCAACCCATGTAGTACTGTCATGGATGAAACCAGACCAGAACTGTAATGAATCAGACTGTAGATATGATGTTCAATGGCTGTCAAAAGGAGAATCAAATACCATATATGTAAGTATAAACAAACGGACATCTGAGGTATATGTCAATGAGACCAAACCCAAAGTGTAGTCAAAATTTGACTAGAAACCACCATTTATTAGCATTAGAGTTAATTGCTTGTAATTGCAATACCCCTCTTGTAGAATAATCCACAGGGTACTCCTAGAATGTGTTAATGCCATGGGGGATATCAGGCTAATTATCGCTAATCACATGTACCAGTAGACACATCTGACAGGAGAATAAATTGATCAAGTTCAGACAATTAAATGCATTAATTTTCAGCAAATAACATTTGCATTTTATAATAAAGTTTTAGATTCATTTTTTTATTTCAAAGAAAGAGGTTTAACAATAGATTGTTGTAGGTGTTGAGCAATTTCGTGTTGATAGTAACCCTGGAACTTTCTGATAGGAAAAGACTTTGAAGTAACAGGACAGCTGATTTGTGGTGACTTAGAGTAGGCACTTGATACTGGAAGTGTTGCTTGTCCTGATGAAAGTTCCTCCACAGTTAAATTCTCATCCATGGAGAGCCCTATGACTTTTAGAGGTCAAAATCCTGTCTCCAACAGTAGACAAGTGTCTCATTAATTTGCATAGCTCTAAATTTCTCTGAATACAGAAACAATTGTGATTAAATCAATAGAGACTAACAAATATCTGTCATATACACCAAATTTCCTAAATAAAAACTTTAGAATTTAACTAAGGATAACCACTGACAATGTTCCTGACTTGGGACAGGCATATGAACACTTTGCAGTATATATTTCAGTAGAACAAAATAAAAAATATTCTTTTTGTTTCATTAATTATAGTTATTATGGAAATGTTGATTATTTTTTTCTTATCAAACTATGAAACTAATGATACTTATTGCAATTTACTAGTATTATGATAATTATTGATTAGGTGATAGTTTATCTGCAGCTTCATGTTGCCAGATAACTTAATCCTGATTTGATGTTAATTTTTATACGATTGCAATTTTTTGCGGTCGTTTATTGGTATGACGTTGGCGTCGTCGTCGTCCGAAGACACATTGGTTTTTCGCACAATTACTTTAGTTTAAGTGAATGGATCTCTATGAAATTTTACCATAAGGTTCAATACCACAATAGGAAGGTTGGGATTGATTTTGGGGGTTATGGTACCAACAATTAAGGAATTAGGGGCCAAAAAGTGGCCAAAAATTAGCATTTTCTAGTTTCCAGACAATAACTTGAGGAACGGTGTATGGATCTCTCTGAAATTATACCACAAGTTTCCATACCACAAAGGGATGGTTAGGATTTGCTTTGGGGGGTTATGGCTCAAACCGTTTAGGAATTAAAAAAGGGAGAAAAACAAGGTTGTCCTGGTTAATGGACAAATACTTTAGTACAAAACATAATTTAAAGCAGTGTAAGGGAGATAAATCAAATACAATATTTGAATTACCTCCCTTACACTGCTTTTAAATTATATATAAAGTAATGATTAATGAACAATTAGGACAATTTAAAACAGTGTAAGGGAGGTAATCCAAATACAACGTTTTGATTACTTCCCTTACACTGCTTGTAAATTATGTTTAAAGAAATGCATATATTCATAAAGGAAGACCAGTAAAAATATCTGCAAATGTTGCATTTTTTTTTTTTTAGAAAAAAATCCATATGAAAGATTTGACACCATATTTTAAAATCTATTATAAAATAGATTAAGTTAGCACTATGGTAAATTTAAATGGGTAATTGGAAATTTGAATTGCCATTATGACCATATCTTGAGGGAAAGAATTTTTTGAGGGAAAAAGGGGGGTAAAAAGAAATTGTGGGGGGTCAATTTTTTCTCATTTCAGATTTCAGAAATTAAAAAGAAGTAATCTTTAATTGCACAGTATGGCGCATTAGATTTGTAAAATCTTTTGACCACATTTATTTATTTGTTATGCCGAATCTAACCGAGTTTATGATTTTTAATTTTGGGTCCGTTTTCAAATTGGTCTACATTAAGGTCCAAAGGGTCCAAAATTAAACTTTGTTTGATTTTAACAAAAATTTAATATATGGGGTTCTTTGATATGCTGAATCTAAACATGTATTTAGATTTTTGATTTTGGGCCCAGTTTTCAAGTTGGTCCAAATTGGGGTCCAAAATTAAACTTTGTTTGATTTTAACAAAAAATTAATATATAGGGTTCTTTGATATGCTGAATCTAAACATGTATTTAGATTTTTGATTTTGGGCCCAGTTTTCAAGTTGGTCCAAATTGGGGTCCAAAATTAAACTTTGTTTGATTTCAACAAAAATTGAATATATGGGTTCTTTGATATGCTGAATCAAACCATGTATTTAGATTTTTTATTTGTGGGCCCCGCTATCAAATTGGTTCATATTGAGGTCAAAAGGGTCCAAAATTAAACTTTGTTTGATTTCATCAAAAATTGAATTATTGGGGTTCTTTGATGTGCAGTTTAGGAATTAAGGGCCAAAAAGGGGCCAAAAACAAGCATTTTTCTAGTTTCCAGACAATAACTTGTGTGTAAGTATATGGATCTCTCTGACATTCTACCACAAGGTTCCATATAACAAAGGGAAGGCTGGGATTGAGTTTTGGGGTAATTGCTCCAAGGGGGGGTTTCAAAAAGTTGGGGGGGGGGGGGGGGGATTTTTTTCCCAATTTTTTTAAGGGATTCATATTTTTTTTTCAAAATTTTTTAAATTTCGAATTTTTGAAGTTTCAAGAAGAAATCTTCAATTGCACAGTATTGCGCAATGGATTTATAAGATCTTTGACCACATTTATTTTGTATCAGAAACCTATATTATGTCAAAAATTTGATCACAATCCAAATTCAGACAGTATCAAGCTTGAATATTGTGTCCAAATTTGCCCCAACCGTTCAGGGTTCGACCTCTGCGGTCGTATCAGGCTGCCCTCAGCGAAGCATTTTATAAATTTTGGGTCCTGTTTTTTAAATTGGTCAACATTAAGGTCCAAATTGGGGTCCAAAATTAAACTTAGTTTGATTTTAACAAAAATTGAATTCTTGGGGTTCTTTGATATGCTGAATCTAAACATGTGTTTAGATTTTTGATTATGGGCCCAGTTTTAAAGTTGGTCCAAGTTGGGGTCCAAAATTAAACTTTGTTTGATTTCAACAAAAATTGAATATATGGGGTTCTTTGATATGCTGAATCTAACCATGTATTTTGATTTTTGGGCCCCGTTATCAAATTGGTCCACATTGAGGTCAAAAGGGTCCAAAATTAAACTTTGTTTGATTTCATCAAAAATTGAATTCTTTGGATTCTTTGATGTGCTGAATCTAACCATGATTTTGGATATTAAACCATAATAGGTAAATTAAAATTTTTTAAGTTCTTAGACCACATTCATTCTGTGTCAGAAACCTATGCTGTGTCAAATATTTAATCACAATCCAAATTCAGAGCTGTATCAAGCTTGAATGTTGTGTCCATACTTGCCCCAACTGTTCAGGATTCGACCTCTTCGGTCGTATCAAGCTGCTCCCAGCGGAGAACTTTATTTAAGAATGTGATGTCAAGGGAAAAAAAGAATTTTGGCTGATTGCTTTACGCTTCAAGAAAAAATTTACATGATTTTCAACTGGTAGCTTAACATACTGACAGAGATCGCTTGTAATTTAGTAATTCTATATATTTTTTAGGCATTGGAAACAACAACAGCAAATATAACAAATCTACAGCCAGAAACTGACTACCACATAACTGTATCTGCAACCAATCAGTATGGTAGTAGTTTACCTTCACCGTTGTTAAATGTCAGAACCAGACCTATTAGTAAGTATCAACAGAAATAGACTACATTATGTCAATATCTTGCACTAATTGGGTCAAGATACACAATTCATTTCAAGTAGGCGGTAATGGTAGCCTTTTCTTCAATTCTGCCTATATTGTAAACTTTGATATGTGTGATGGCTTGTTTTGAAGCTGAGACATTTTCGCACAAATGGATAAATTTTTCGAGGTACGAAGTGTGATTCATTTTCTCATTTTTGCCCTTTGGGAACAATACCTTTTTTCACACAAAAAGTTTTCTGAAATACAGTTCTTTGTAAGGGATTACTAAATCGTAAAATGCAAAATGATTTCATGCTAAATTAAAAGGGTGCAACTATTATCTGTTATATTCAAACACTTTTAAAGGTATTAAAATTAAAAGTCCAGTAATTTCCTGTCAATTTGATAAACAAAACTAATCCCAGAAGTGAATCCTGAATTACTCATACTTTTGTATTATCATGAAACTTCCAGTTGTAATTTCGTCTTAAAAATCAAAAGAAACGTTAGCCATGTCTGAGAAATTTACCTTTTTGAGTCATTAAAATCATTTCAATTTTAAACGTGCATTCCTTAACTGTTCTTGAATGTTTTTAGAAAAATGGTAAAAAATTCATGAAATAAATGCAATGAAACAGCTGGGACTATTATACTAACAATATATTATGTCCCAGGAAACAGTCAATACAAGTTTGTTGATGCTATGAATCTAGTGTGAATAATTTCAACAGTCTAAAACTTTTAATTGATCTCAAAAAGACCGAAATTGTGTTAAAAAATTTCCGCATCCTTGGTTGTTTGCATACATTTTTGTGCCTGTCTGAAATAGGGAACCTTTTGCCTTTGTTAATCTTGTGTGTTTTTATGCCCCCACCGTAGCGGAGGGGGCATTAAGTTTTACCCTTGTACGCCCGTACATCCAGAAATTGGTTTCTGTTCTCTAACTTTAGTTTGCCTCAACCAAATGTTATGAAACTTGTAAACAATGCTTATTACCGCAAAACACAGATCAAATTTGAATTTGGGTAGCATCATTTTTACCTTTCAAGAGTTATGCCCCTTTACAAATGGAAAAATTGCTGAATTTTTTGTTTCCTTTTCTCTTACTTAAGTTTGCCTCAACCAAATGATAAGATTCTTATACACAATGCTTTTATCCAAAAACGCAGATCAAGTACGAATTTGAGTAGCCTCGCTTGTACCGTTCTTGAGTTATGTCCCTTTATAACGTTATGTGCAAGCAGGGGCATTTAATTTTGGTTCATTTGTATTTTTCCGAGTTTAGTGCGGCATCCATTTGGCCGAACTAGCATACATTATTGTTTAGGGGCCAGCTGAAACCAGTCTCCGGGTGCCTTATTTTTTTAATGCCCTGAAGACCCATTGATGGCCTTGGGCTGTTTTATTTTCTTTGGTCTGGTTGTTGTGTCTTTGACACATTCCAGGTTTTCATTCTCTATTCTTTTTAATAACTTCATAGTTTTTGTTGAGTCTGCAACTATTGTCGCAGAAAGCTCGACATAGGGATAGTGATCGGGCAGTTGTGGTGTTAACTAACTACGAAAAAGCTTTATATTTTAGAAGGTGGAAGGCCTGGATGCTTCATACTTTGTATATAGATGCCTTATGTTATTTACGGGGTCAGACCTATAATACGACAGTCCCATAATCCGACAATCCTGTTGTCCGACAGTCTTATAATCCGACAATCCTATAGTCCGACAGTCCTACAATCTGACAGCCATATAGTCTGACGCGTGGTCACTTGTCTCTGAAAAATATGCCTATATAGACATGTAACGTTTGTAAATTGGTATATTTTTTCACACAGAAAATTATCAAATTAGTCAGTATGACGTCTTGTACAGGGCCGCAATAATCCCATACGAACCGGCCATGAACACAGCGGGCTAAATTCAATCGGCAATCCTCGGATGAATCCGCTAATACCCTAGCTTAGACGGTAGAAAGGAATCGACCGAGTTTTGACAAATGGGGCTTAAACAGTAAAAGGCCAGTTAAATGATTAATATGAGGGCTTTTTTTTTACATCAATATTTACGAAAATCCGTTCAAGCAAACTTGAAGAATCAAACGACAGAGGAATTTGCGATGTTCATAACGTACGATTTTACATATCACGGGTGTCGATCATACTGGGGGCAACCATTTGAATTTTACGGGGAAGGCTAAGAAAGAAACTATTTTCACTTACATTTGTTCACATCACATTTTTATAAACACAATATTCTTTATATTATAAATAGTCATGGAGGTGAATTTAGATCACCTTAGAATTTTTTGCAACATTTCGGGGCCCCTGCCTTATTATTTCAAAGTCCATCTTAGCCCCACAAAAAGGGAATCCCTTATGTTAACTCAAGTGTCAATTTTATTAGGAAGCACGTTGTATGCTTCTACTTCGAAACCATACACACTTTAGTGATGGCTGCAGAGGTTATTACCGGGAATCAGGGAGGGAAGGTACTAATCTATAATGGATACAAATATAAAAAAAAACAGAAAACCGAATCAATTTATTGGCGCATTGAGTGTAGTGCTAATATAAAAACTAATATATTTGAAGTCAACAACACTCATGCAATAATTCGCATTCTCGAAAACAACGAGCACACCCATGAATCAGAAGATGCAAGTATTTCAAGGAGCGAAACTTTAAATACAATAAAAGATCAGATAATGGAGGACCCAACTGTACCTATTAAAAGAGTTTATGATAGAGTAGCTAGAGATATGAACAGAGGCGGTGATGATCGGGAGCGCATCCCCGAATTTCCCGAGTTATCAGCAGATTGAGGCCCCAAAGTTTAAACTCCTGTCTTGGTACCAGAGATGTGAGAGAGAGGGTGAAATGCACCCTTCTGATTAATGAAAGTGTCGGACTAACCGACTGTCGGACTAACCTACTATCAGACTGTCGGACTACTGGACTGTCTGAATTTCGGGGTGTCGGATTATAGCTACGCTCCCTTCATATGTCCATTGTCCTTGACCTCATTTTCATGGTTCAGTGACTACTTGAAAAAAAAGTTAAGATTTTTTGAAATGTTAATTTCTCTCTTATTATGAGTAATAGGATACGTTTATTTAGTATGTGCGTACCTTGCAAGGTCCTCATGCCTGTCAGACAGTTTTCATCTGACCTCGACCTCATTTTCATGGATCAGTGAACAAGGTTAAGTTTTCATGGTCAAGTCCATATATCAGATACTATAAGCAATAGGTCTACCATATTTGGTGTATGGAATGATTGTAAGGTATATATGTCTGTCTGGCAGGTATCATCTGACCTTGACCTCATTTTCATGGTTCATTGGTCAATGTTAAGTTTTCATAGTTAAGTTTGTTTCTTAGATACTATAAGCAATATATCAACTATATTTAATGCATAGGTTGATTGTAAGGTGTACTTGTCTGTCTGACATGGTTCATCTGACCTTGACCTCGTTTTCATGGTTCATTGATCAATGTTAAGTTTTTCTGGTTAAGTTTGATTCTTAAAAACTATAAGCAATAGGTCAACTATATTTGGTGTATGGAATGATTATAAGGTGTACATGGTTTTCCAGTTTGGTTTATCTAACCTTGACCTCATTTTCTTGGATCATGTTGAGTTTATGTGATTTTGTAGTAAAGCTTTATATTTAGGACTATCAACATAAAATCAATGGTCAGTAAAGCAGGAGAGACATTTCAGCGTGTGCACTCTTGTTACACCTTTATCCTATGGTCCTTTGCTCTTTGAATCAGCTCAAATGATTGAGCTCAGTCACTTGCTCAAAATTGCAATGTCCAATATCACTACACAGAGATTTTTATGCCCCACCTACGATAGTCTGTGCGTCTGTTCGTTCGTTCATCCGTCCGTCCCTCTGTCCCGCTTCAGGTTAAAGTTTTTGGTCAAGGTAGTTTTTGATGAAGTTGAAGTCCAATCAACTTGAAACTTAGTACACATGTTCCCTATGATATGATCTTTCTAATTTTAATGCCAAATTAGAATTTCACGGTCCACTGAACACAGAAAATGATAGTGCAAGTGGGGCATCTGTGTACTATGGACACATTCTTGTTTGTTTGTGTATCATATTTGAGTACCTCACTTTGAGGCACATAAGGGATATTGACCCAATTAGTGGGGCATCAGTTTACCGTTACCTTTGTTAAAGGGATAGTAGCTACGATTTTGACAAAATTTTGACCAAGTTTTAAAGCTGCTAAAATCAAAGATATGTATTAAAAATTCACAATAAGATCGCTGGGATGTTAACAGAAACTATAGAAGTGGTAATAATTGATCATTAATATCGTGTTGCGTGCATATTCATCTCATTAATTATGCATCTGATTTACTTCCCAAACTTTGCCTACACAGTGAGCGAAATGACCTAGATATAAATAGATATGAACATGTGCTTTTTGTTTTCTTACTTATTTGATCATTTCTTTAAATTAAACGTACATATTTGACACCATTTATCAAATTATGTAAACAACAAAATAAAACAAAAGCCTGCATATTATTTGAACCCAAGGTTCTCAAACAATCCGTCGGTCGTCAATATGTCAGACAATAACTCAAAAACGCTTTAAACAATTCGCATGAAACTTTGGTGAATTGTTTATATCTATTGACGTGAGCTCCCTTTCATTTTTAATAAATTTTAGATTTTAAGTTTCCATGTTTTGGGGTTTTTTTCATTAAAAAAGGGGCATTTTCCAGTTTTCGGACAATAACTCAAAAACACTTTCACCAATTTACAAGAAACTTTGGTGAATTGTTTATATCTATTGTGATGAGCTCCCTTTTGAATTTTATAAATTTTAGATTTTCTTTTCCGAGTTATGGGGTTTTATTCATTAAAAAAAGGGAGATTTTCTAAAATTTTCCCAGTTTTTATACGACCGCAAAAAAATTTTGTGGTCGTATATTGGTATGATGTTGGCGTCGTCGTCGTCGTCGTCGTCCGGCGTCGTCG